GTATAAGATTTAAGTTGTTTTAAGAGTAGCTAATCTAAAACTTTTAACAGCGTTATATTTTGTCGATGAGATTTGCGAGCAAGCATGGAAGACTGTGTTTTACAGCAGAAGGGCCAAGGAGCAGCAGTATTAGTTAGAGGTTTCTTACAGTGGTCTTGCTACCTGTTTATTTATGATGGAGGGTTTTTGGTAACCAAATGTGAATTAAGTGATATTTCATTCTTAAAGATTTGGAAAATTCTCTGCCTGGACATATTGTAAAGAATGAAGAAGTCTATTCAAGAGAAGACACCAAGGGTGTGGCTGAGGGAACAATAATAAGGATGTTAAGTATATGGAGATGAAAGCCAGATGCTACTCATCAGACAATGGAAGAATGAGGTGAATGCATTTTGGAGATCTTTGGGGCTGCCCTTCTTTCACAGGCTGGAAGCCCAGGGCCTTGGGGGCAGAATTGTTTCCAGGCTGTGCTCCCTGCATTCTGGCGCAATACTCCTTGGCTACCCCAGCTGTGGGGCAAATAAGCCCAGGCATGGCTCAGGGCACAGATGGCAAAATATGGCTATCTCTGCGCAGGGCCATCACCAGGATGTACAAAGTGCATAGGCTAGGGGACATGGCTGTTCCACCTCAATTTCAAAGGATATTCCAGACAACCTAGAGGCCAGGCAGAGGGCTGCCTTAAAGTAAGGTTCACCATGTAGAGTCTTTACTAGGGCAATACCAGCCACAGTTATGGGCCACACACAAGTCCCCATAATGGTAGAGCCATCAGTGAAAACTGCAGCCTGAGAGAACTGCAGGCCCAAGGCTCCAAATGTGGCTGCAGTGTGAATGCACCCCTCAGAGGTGAGGCTTCCAGAGTCTTGGGGGCCTAACTCCCTTCCCAGCATGTCCGAGATAACAGAGTCAAAGGTTATTCTCCAGCCTTAAGATTTGATATTTTTGTCGTGTTGAGTTTTGAATTACTTAAGACTTATTACCCTATTCCCTCCTCCCTCCCTCTCTCTCTTCCTTCCTTCCTTCCTTCTTTCTTCCTCCCTATTTCTCCTTTTAGGAATGGGAATGACTCTCGCTATGTCTGTGCCATCATAGTGTTTTGGAGACACACAACTTGTTCGATTTCACAGTCTCACAGTTGGAGAACAGTTTGCTTCAGGATGAATTCATACCCTTAGTTTCACCCATATCTGAAATGAGTTGATATTTAGATGAGACTAACTAGAACTTTAAAATTGATGATGGAATGAGTTAAGACTTTGGGGGCTATTGGGATAGAATGAATGTATTTGCCATGTGAGGACATAAATTTTGGGGGTCCAGGGGCAGCATGCTATGGCCTGTTTGTATTACCAAGTTGAAATCCAGCCCTCAGCATGTTGGCATTAAGAGGCAGGGCTTTTGGAAGGCAGTTAAATCACGAGGGCAGAGTCCTCATGAATGGAATTAATGCCCTTATAAAAGAGTTCCAGAGAGCTGCTTTTCCCTTCCTCCATGGGAGGATGCAACGAGATGCTGTTGTCTTTAAGGAGAGTGGACCCTCACCAGAAACCAAATCTGCTGATGCCTGATCTTGGACTCCCCAGCCTCTGAACTATCGGCAGTACATTTCTGTAGTGTATAAATTACCCAGTCAAAGGCATTGTGTTATAGCAGCCAAATGGACTAAGATACTGGGCATACGAGCCTATCCAGGCCAATGAGACATTAGGGAATGTGACTGGGAGATTCTGGGAAAGGTTTTCCTTAAAAAAGAAGTATATGGAGTCAGGTGTGGTTGTTCATGCTTTAATCCCAGCACTCAGGAAGCTGAGGATGGAGGCTCACTAGTTTGAGGCCAGCCTAGGCTATGTAGTGAGACCCTGTCTCAAACAAAATAAAACAAACAAAAATAAAATAACACAACAACAACAAAAAGAGGTACATGTGAGTGCTCTTTTCCTTCTTAACTTTGAGTTATTCATTTAATGATGGCATGACTGTAGCAATAGCAGCTATTCTGTCACTGTAAGTATAAAGGTAAGAAAATCAAAGTTAGTCCATACTCCCAAATCATGAAACTGCTGAGTTCTGGAGTCCTTATCTCTGGACTTCTTCTTTTTTTTTAATTCATATTGGACTTCTTCTTTTGTGAGGTCATAAATTCCTCATATTAGTCATCTTTAGTTGGGTGGTATGTTCCTTGTAACCTAAGGCATTCTAACCCATAGACATGATTTATAAAATTTGTTACTGGAAATACCAGAGCATTTCCCAAAAGCAATCTTGTGTTTCTTAGGCTATAATCCCCTGACTTGTGGCATTAGTTCTCAAAACTGTTAAGAGACCAGAACAGAGTTGTTTCAAAATAAAGATTTTTCAACATCTGAAGATATTTCAGCAGCTTCATAGTTATTTTTAGGCTCCATGTGACTCAGGATGGAAACACTTCTATTTCTGACTTTTTAAAATCAATAAGTATGTCACTCATCTCTGACTGGGGTTTTCTTCTGGGGATAGAATACATACACAGGTCCTGAGAAATCTTGATATCTATGATTCTATCATCCAAACTGATAACAACTCTCTTGGAAAACAACATGGCTTTATTACACGTGCCCGCATAAAGTCTCAACAAAATTACAAATGCCCAGGTGGGGAAAATGTTGTGGTTGCTGGTCAGACTGATTGGTAGATTTCCATTCATGTTCAACACTCAATAAATGTGTTAACTGCCTGCTGTGAGCAGGGCTTGTGTGGGACTCTGAGCGGCTAAGTCAGTCAGGCCTCCACCCAAAGGAGTTCTGTGTTAGCTACTTTTGCATCACTAGGACCAGAATACCCAAGAGAACAACTTAAAAAGAAGGAAGGATTTATTTTGGCTCACAGTTTCAGAGGGCTTAGTCCATGGTGTTTGCCTCTGTGCTTCTGGGCCCATTGTGAGGCAGAACAACAGTGCAGCAGGGGGCCTGAAGAGGGGTCCCCACCTCATGGCAGATGGCAAATAGAAACAGAGAGGGACCCATGACAAGGCACAGCCCTCAAGAACATGTCCCCAGTGACCTATGTCCTCCAGTTAGGCCCCACCTCCTTCTGTTTCCAGAACCTTTTAAAATAGTGCCAAACAGCTGGGGACCAATCATGCAACACACGAGCCAGTGGGGGACAGTTTATGTTCAAGTCATAAAGAGCCCCCAGATGGTGAAGGAGAACAGAAAGTAACTAGATAATCCTGATGCAAAAGGAGAAACCTTTTCATAGGGCCAAGTGTAGGGAGCTGTGAGAGTTTGTTTATTCATTCATTCAACTCACTTTGGTCATTCAGCATATTTAAGGAGCATCCATGATGTGTTAGGAGCAAAGAAAACAGTGGAGGAAAGAAAGACACAGTCCCTGTTCTTGTGTTTCTTTTGGTGAAGTGGAAAAGACAGGCAGGTGAACAGATCATTGCAGGTGCTGATGCCAGAAGGCCTAAGAGGGTGACCTAAGATGTCACTTGCCCCAAAGGTAGGGGAATGAGGTCACCTGCCCCAAAGGTAGGGGAATGGAGAAAAGGATGCCTGACATGAGATGGGAAGGATGCAAAGGCAGGACAGCACTGCACACAGGCACAGGGACAAGAGAGACTATGGCAAAGGTCGTTTCAAATGTCCAGAGAAAAAATTGGGCAGACAGCTATACATCTGACAGGGGATTAGTACCCAGGATATATAAAGAACTCAAAAATGTAGACACCACAAAGAACAAGTAATCCAATCAATAAATGGGCAAACGAATTGAACAGACAGTTCTCAAAAGATGGAGTACAAATGGCCAATGAAGAAATATGCAACATCTTTAGCCATCAGGGAATGCAAACCAAAAACCTGCATTGAGATTTCACCTCACCCCAGTCAGAATGGCTACCATCAATAGCATTAGTCTTTGCGCAACAGATGCGTCCAACTGTTGTTGGGAGTGTAAACTAGCACAGACATATGATACATATATGATATACGATTTATATAATGGAGTTTTAGTCAGCCATAAAGAAAAACAAGATTATGTCATTTGCAGGAAAATGGATGGAACTGGAGATCATGTTAGGTGAAATAAGTCAGACTCAGAAAATCAAATATTGCATATTTTCTCTCATGTGGAATCTAGACTTAAGAGAAAATGATATGAAAGTAGAAGAGGAAGTATTTGGGAAGAAGAAGGGACCAGTGTGCATGAGTGTTTGTGGGGGAGGGACAGATAAGAGAGGGTAATGGGGTTGTGTATGTGTGAATGTGATCAAAGTACAGCATGCAGATGTCATAATGAAAGCAATTAAACATGTACAAAAAATTGGGCAGAATGGAGGCTGCAAGGGGTGATTTGAAAGTTGCCAAAACAGAGGGGGCCATTGAGCCTGGGGACACTGGTGACATCACTCAGGAATGAGTGATGAGGATGAGGACAGAACCCCTGAGGAAGACCAACATGGAAGAGAGAGAACAGATGACAATTACAGATGGGGTGTTAAAGTCCCCTGAACGCTCATCTTCAATATGCCATTGCTAAATGATACTGACCTATGATTTTTCCTAGTGAAGCCTGCTTTCCTTGAAGTACCCCCATCAGACCTATTGCAAAATGACACCTCCAGGTGTAAATCAGATTGTAACTCTGTCCTTTGCTGATTCCACAGTGCCACCTGTAAGCACAGGAAAAACCCAAGCAAGAACTTGATTCTCTATGGTCAGTTTGGCCTACGTCTTACTGAGGTACTGGGGTTTGGAGTGTGTACAAGTGGGGAAAAAAAAGCACCCCCCGCTGGTGCAAACTCAGAGTGATATGTGGCAAGCTTTGTGCTTACCTCAGCCTCTCTGATCACAGCCTGGTGGGGCTGAAAGGAGGGAGACTGGCTTCCTTGGTGACACATAGCTGGGGATGAGGGCCTGGGAGGCTCTGCACAGTCAAAACTCGGGTATTTAAGATCACCTAAGGCACACAAACTAAAGGAATGAAAGGGAGTATTGAGAAGTATCTGTCATAGGTGTGAGCATGGAGCCCATGGGAACTTTGTGGACAGAAGCTGAGGGATGGGCCGGAGTCCATCCTCTGGCTGTGGTTGTCCACTTGCTTAGGCACCTAATTCAAGGTTCAGGAAGTGCCTATCTTATAGAGCTATGCGAAGTTACCACTGGCTTTCAGGACCTGGAGAGTTAACAGAGTTCAACCATTCTTGACTGTCTTTAAAATAAATTGTGTGAGCCCTCTTCAGCTTGCCAAAAAGAAGAAGTGGTTATTTTAGAATTCTGGCTTCCAGTATTTGCAGGGATTTCCACATCATCATAGTCATCTTCAGGTTCAATGTAGCCAGGGATAGCAAAGGTCTTCTTGTTTTTGCCTTTATTCACTGATGAGTATTTGACTGGTGGCTGACTTGGGGACTCCTGTGGGGCTGGAATACATAAAAAGGTCCTTATGTGCAGAGCCATTGTGCAGTGATATATTTTTGAATCATTTATGGGTTTCCTACTTCCTGGTGGGCCAGTTCCCCATTGTACAGGGGAAACTCAGAAGCAGACACGACACACATCTCAGCACCACCCAAGTGAGTGAGTGGCAAATATTCATCAGACATCTTGACTCGTACATCTCGGCCTCAGACTGCATTTTGTGGGAACCATGAAGCACTTAGAAACGAGGCCCACCAGAGCTAGTCCCCAGATGAGTACCATTGTGGGTACAGATCCTGATTCTCACGAGGAAGTGATGCAAACCATATTTCCTTGTTTACAGGTCCGTCCCAATCACAGGCTGTTTCTACCACTGCTCATGCACAAATCTCTCTGCTCAGAAGGAAGGAAACAGTGGTGTTTTTAAAAGGTGTAACTAGGGTAGAATGGGTCCATAGCAAGAGAAAGGATGGTTTGAATATGATTTGAATATGATTTCCCAAAGCTTCATCTGTTGGAGGTTTGATTCCCGGTGTAGTGGGACCTTTAAGAGGTGGGGCTTAGTGGGAGATGGTTACTGGCCTCATTCTTCCCACAGGCATCATGTCTTACCATGTGAGCTCTCCCCCTCACATGGGCTTCTGCCTGGAAGCCAACTACATGATTTGGTGCAGCCAATGGGGGTCTTCATGCTTTCAACCTCCAAAACTGTCCGCTAAATAAACCACTTTTTAAATAAATTACCCAGACTCAGGTACTTTGTTATAATAATGGAAAATAGACTAATCCAATGACAAAACAGCTCTGCTCCACCTGTGATGGAAATTGGAATTGCCTATGGCGTTTCCTCAGGGAGCCCAAAAAAACTACTATCATTTAATTTCCTGTTGAAACGAGTTCATGTTCAGGCTCTAGTAGTCACTAGTTTTGTGGCCATGGGTAAGTCACTTAACTTCTCTGTGCCTCAGTGTCCTCAAATATCAAAGGGGAGTAATAATGTACTTGCCTCATAGAATTATCATGAAGATTAAATGAGGCAGTTCCTAACGGGGGCCCGACACATAGTGCATACTCAGTAAGTGTTAGGTAATGTTATTTATCCATTTAACCCAAACATTTTTTGTTAGGTGTCCACAGCTCCAGATGCTGTTCTAGGTGTGGGCAAACACGGTGGTGAACAGGACAAGAAAGGTTCCTGCTTCTCTGGAGTTCATATTTCAGTGGAGGGGAAGATAATAAGCAAATTAACGATAACTAACTAAGACAGTTTGGGTAACTTCTGTAAGTTCCACAGAGGAGAGCAGCAGAATAGGCTAGATAGGGAGATAAGGGAAGGACCCTCTGGGGTGATGACACCTGAGGGACAAGGCAGAGCCAGCTATGCAAACAGCTGAAGGCAGAACATTCCGGCAAAGGGAATCAGGTAGTTATTCTGACAGAAAGAGTGGCAGCCCAAGTTCCTTTTTTATTTATGTTCCAAGCTTGGATTTGAACATGACCATTCACATTCACACCAGGACGTCAAGAGCATTGGTATTTATTTTGTCCCTTTCAAGTTTGTAGATCTGTTTCAAGCAGGATGCCCCTACAAATCCTAGTGTTAGGGAATGGATATTTGTGTCCCTCCAAAACTCTTATGTTGAAATCCTTGGTGTGGCTCTGTTTGGTCATAATGATGGGACCCAGATCCAACAGAATTAGTGAGGATTAATGTTTTTATAAGAAGAGACATCAAAAGCTGGGTGTGGTGGGGCACACTTGTAATCTCAGGACTTGGGAGGCTGACGCAGGAAGATGGAGAGTTCTTGGCCATCCTGGGCTACACAGTGAGACCCTGACTCAAACAAATGAAAAAAAAAAAAGAAAAGAAGAGAAAAAGGAAGAGGAGAGAGAAGGAGAAGGGAAACAAAAGAACAAGAAGGAGAAGGAAGGGAAGGAGGAGAAAGAAGACAAGGAGAAGAAGAAGGAGACACAAGAAAGCTGGCTCTCTTGATTTCTTCCCCAGCTCAGGTGCACTCAGTGTGAGGACACTGCAAGAAGACAGCCATCTGAAAGTTAGAAAGAGAGCCCTCCCCAGAAACCAAGTTGGCAGCACCCTGATCTTAGACTTCCAGCCTCCATAACTATGAGAAAAAAATTAGCTTTTTTTTTTTCAACTGTTAAGCCACCCTGCCTATAGTATTTTTGTTATGGCAGCCTGAGATGACTAAGACATCTAGATAAATTTGTTATCCTACTCTGAACGAAACTGTGATAGGCAAAATGTACTTACTGGTGTCTCCTGGAGACAGTGAACCCCTGGGTGGCAGAGGGGGTAACAGAACTGGCGACTGGTTAAGAACATTTCTAGAAAGAAAGAGAGGGAGTCAGTGTTTGGGTTGGATCATGTTACTGGCAGCAGATGGACAAGACAGCATCAACGAAAGCGAATGGGTTAAACCTTCACAGCTCAGTCCCAACAAATTACTTCCTTCCCTTCCTAGGTCCTATGTCCCATTTTTAACTGCCATCCCTAAAGAATCCATTCCTTCTAACCTAGGGAACCAGCAGAGAGTTGAAGCGTTTGTGTACATCCATTAAAAGACATGTACTAGAATGTTTGAAGCAACACTATTCATAATAGTCCTGTAGTTATGGAAGTTGAATGGCCCGTATCAACCCAGCTTGGCCCTATCGGGAAGTAATAGAAACTGTCAGAAGTGAGGCCTGGTGGGAAGCCTTCAGGTCGCTGGGGGCACTTTCTCAATGGAGATTGTGGGACCCCAATCCTTTCTTTTTTTTTTTTTTTTAGTGGTACTGAGGCTTGAACCAGGCAGGTACTCTACCATTTGAGCCGTTCCGCCAGCCATCACCCTAATCCTTTCTTCTTTCTTTCTGTTTTTAATTCTCTGGCCATGTATTCTTTACCATGACGTGCTGCCTCACCACAGGCCCAAAAGCTGCCATGGACTGGAACCTCCAAAACTGTGATCCACAATGAACCTTTCATCTTTATAAGCTGATTATCTCAGGTATCTCTTACAGAACAGAAGCTAACAGAAGCCCCAAACTGGGCATGGCCTATATTAGCCTGGCTTGTCTGGAGAAACTGAGTCATAAAATTACCCAGATGCTCATTAACATCAGAATGCATAGGTGAGTCATGGTCTATTGGGGTAGTGGAATGCTTCTGTAACCGGGAGAGTGAACAGTCTACAGCCCGGCACACAGATCTCACAAAAATAATGGCAAGGCTGAGATGCAGCTCAGCTGCACAGCATTGTCATAACATGTTCAAGGCCCCAGATTCCATCCTTAGTGTGTAAAAAACAATGCTGAGCAAAAAATGCCAAATAGCAAGTAATACATGCTGTCTGACCCCTTTCATGTAAAGCACAGAAACAACAAAAACCTGACTGGCACTATTTGAGATAGAGGATGCATTTGGGGTGTCCTGACTGAATGTAGTTCAGCCTGAGGTGTTGGTGGTATCTGTGTCTTCATCTGGACGCTGGCTTCCTGGGTCCATTCAGTTCGTGGGAATTCATTGACTTGTGTACTTCCAGGGTACATTTTTCTGTATTTGCATTATACATCAGTAAAAATTCTGAACTGCAATGCCAGTGGGTTTTTTTTGTTTGTTTGTTTTTTTGGTAGTATTGAGTGTTGAACTCAGGGCCTCATTCTTGCTCCACAGGTGTTCTATCACTCGAGCCCCTCTGCCAGCCCTTTTTGTTGGTTACTTTTGAGGGGTTTTGCTCTATGCCTGGGTCAACCTGGACCATGATCTTCCTATTTGTGCTTCTTTGTGTAGCTGGGGATGACAGGTGCAGGCCTCCAGGCCCAGGCATTGGTTGAGACGGGGTCTCATGAACTTTCTGTACAGGCTGGCCTCAAACTGTGATCCTCTTGATCTCAGCCTCCCAAGTAGCTAGGATTACAGGCACGAGCCACTGTGCCCAGCCAGTTTTGTTTTTAATAAAGGTACTATTTTGGTCATCTACCTGCCTGACACATTTGTCTTACTCCTCAAGGAATCAAAACAAAGTTTTTTCTGCTGAAAGCCTTGAGCCTCAATAAAAGCTATTTTAGAAAATCATAGATTTTGTTTTAGATAGTGCATACAACCAGGAGAGAGGACTGGTTCTTGAGGGCTCCTGGAAAATGTTGACTATCCTGCCTCATAGAGTATCTTTATACACCTGGAGGCTTGGGCTTCTCCAGGTAGTTCATGGTTGTGCTCTGCCTTACAGTGGATGACTGCTTTTGTTTGCCTGGGACCCTGAGCAACTCTGTATTCACTTGCCCCTGGAGGGGCTGCAGACAGCAGCTTAAGGTCAGTTCTGTGAGCACCCCATGGCTACATGGCCAGGCCCCAATGATCCTGGACACAGAGGCTCAGGTGAGCTTCTCTGGTCAGAGCTGCTTCACATGTATTGTTACACATTGTTGCTGGGAGAATGAATGGCATCCGGGAAGCCACCAGGAGAGGACACCTGAAGGCTTGTATCTGGTTTCTCTCATGCTCCATGCTCTGTACCTTGTTCCTTTGCTGCTTTTAATCTGTCTACTTTTGCTGTATTAAACTGTAATAACTCTGGGTCCCAAGAGTCCTTCTAGTAAAACATCCAGCCTAAAGGTGTCCTTGGGGCCCCTAACACAGATAGCAATTACAAAACTCCAAATCTTCATAAAAAACCAAAAGGAAACCAAATGCTATATTTTTGTTTTGCACAATAGCTTTCAGAGAACTATACTTATAATCTGCTTAAAGAAAAAAGGTGGAGACTGGGTGGTGGGCCCAGAACACAGAGCCCAACCTGTGACTGCTGCCAAATGTCAAAATAGACTTGACAAGGGGGTCTTGAACAATGCCCTGAGACCCCTGCCTTAAGGTAGGGAGGGTTGGCAGACACATTCCTCCTGCTCCATAGGAAAGGTGGGTGTTTCAAACATAACAGAACACTAGTAGAAGGGCAAGGGCAGGAGCGGGAAGGTGGTTCTCGATATTAAAGAGCAGAGGACTGCTCCCCACTTACTCATACATCTTTTCTTCATCTCCTTGGTTTTGTTTCAAGGGCTTGGCAATTTCCCATTTCTTGCCTAAGAGGGGAAAACCATATCAATTTAGGATGAATTAGCAAAAGCTGTGATTTCAGAGTGTAGAAGCCCTCAGAGACCAAGTCCGTCCAGGAGAGGAACTGCTGAGGGAAACAAATAGAACAGAGAGCTTATAAGTGCTAGACCTGGTGTTTGAACCCAGGCCATCCAACCAGAATCCAGGAGGGCAGCAACTATGTTGTGGGCTGTGTTTCTTCACTGCTTCACACTATGCTAGGCACTTGGTTGGCACTCAGAAGTGTAGGTTGCATGAATAACCAGAGGCTGTTAGAAGGAAATGATAAAGAATAGAAAAACACTTTGTAAATTGTGATGTGTTGGACATATACATTGTTATTTATTACAACTTGCTTGTTCATGTTGATGCTTCAAGATAAAAGAGCGCAGGGAAGATTTCTGTTTAGGCCATACTTTTTTGTCCATATCTGAGAATGGCACGTTTTAATAAGGCAAATGGATGGAGGTGTGTAGGGGCCCAGAATATAGTTTTTTATTAGCACATATTAACTGTACAAGTACTAGGCTTTAGAATACACTCTTTGTATGAAAATTAATTACATTGGGGGGTAGATAGGAAAGAGCTTTGAACTACAAGCCCAGCACGTCTGAGGTTCTGATCCCAACTCTGCCACCAACTCCTGTGGCACCTCTATGTAGGCTCTGTCTACCTCTGAACTTTAATCTTCTTATCTTTAGCAAGAGGTTGAGAAGAATGACAAAAAGATCTTGCTTCTCATGCAGCCTTGACCTTTTAGCACTGGGTTAAGCAGGATTCTGAAGCTGTGTCCAGATGCCGAGAAGAACAGTACCTTAACCGTGGAGGGGACACCTGCCCTAGGTATCCTGGGGAAGGTGGCTGAACTTCTCAGTGTGTTTACCACCTAAGGTGTACTCTGGGCTTAGGTTTTTTTTTTTTTAAGGAGATAGGATCTCAAGACCTCACATCATTGAATCAGAATTTCATGTTTCTGGAAATAAAGAGCAAGTGGAAAACCTACTTGTTGATATTCTAAAGTTAGTGTTAATCTCCATGTGGTTACTTTATGTCTGAGGATGCCAAAAACCTCAGGTCAATGTAGGGATGGTACCACAAAATTCAGAGTGTGGTCTTGGAAAAGACGATCATGGTGGTCAAACATATTGATCATGGGTCAAGTCTGTATTTCACTCCTCCAGACAGTTTTTGACATTCCATAGATGCGGGTTATCTTTCAAGCCCCAAAGGCATGATGCTGGGATCAGCAGCCACATAGAAAGAGAAACAACAGATTCTACTTTCACTCAAACCCCCTGGACTGGCAAGGTCCTTGGAGATTTATTAAACTCCTCCCTCTCTGCATAGGGAAACTGAGGCAGGGACAGAAGTTAGTGGAAAGGCTAGTGCTCAAACCCAGAGTGCATGATGCTCGATCCAAAGTTTAGCCCATACAGGCCTAGGAGTAATCTTTTTGTCCTAACAGAGCCCCTACCTCCACCTACCCGAGTGAGATGGCCATTACCTTGTCTAAGCTGCCACCTACAGACACAGTACAGGATGAGGCCCAGGACGGAGGAGACAACGACCATGGCCCCAGCTAAGATGATCCAGAAATTGTCCCTCCACCAGATCATTGCAGTGGAATCCTAAGAAGAATGGAGACAGAGCATGAGGTGTGAGTGGACAGTGGCCTGGAGTGGTGGGTGACAGTTATCTCCATGCTTTCTACGATATCTGCTGAGGAGTCATATGGCACCAGTTCACAGTCACCCTGCAGATCAGCAGCTAGGGGACCTCAGGCAATACACTTAGCTTTCTCTGAGTCTGCATCACCGTCTGTAACATGAGAATGACAGTGTTGGCTGCTTCCCAGGAGTGTGTGAGGACTAGAGAGCACTCCACAAATGGCAGACATGACCACTGCTCTTTCATGTAATGCCAAAATGCATTATACAAAAATAATAAAGTGCCACTGAAAGCAATGATAGACTACAGCTCTTTTTATATCATAAACACAGGCTGTGCAATTCATAACAGGGGAAGAGAATTCTGAAAGCTTGTCCCCACTAAAACTCATAATGAGGCTTGGTCCCCATGTCACAGTGTTGAGAGATCATGGGACTTTTTTTTTTTATGATACTGGAGTTTGAACTTAGGACCTCATGCTTGCTAGGCAAGTGCTTTACCACTTGAGCCACTCCACCAGCCCCTTTTCACTTTAGTTACTTTTTGGATAGAGTCTCCCATTTTTGCCTGGATGGCCTATACTCCACCTTCCTATTTGCAGTTCCCTTGGAACTGAGATGACAGGTATGCACCACCACGCCCAGCTTATTGGTCGAAATAGGGTCTCACTAACTTTTTGCCTGGGCTGGTTTCAAACCTTGATCCTCCGATCTCTGCCTCCTGAGTAGCTGGTATTACAAGCATGAATCACTGTGTCTGGTGAGGTAGTGAGACTTTTAAGAGGCACTAGGTTGTGAGGGATGCACCTCCATGGAGAGTTAAAGGCATCTCATGTGAGTGAGCTCTTGCAAGACTAGTTCACAGGACTTTCTTCTCTTCTTCTTGTGCCCTGTCCTCTTCCTACCATGAGAGAAGAGCATGAGGCCCTCCTTAGATGGGGCCACTGATCTTGGACTTCCCAGCCTCCAGAACCCTGAGTTAAATAAACCTCTTCTCTTTAGAAATTACCCAGTCTCAGGTATTCTGTTACAGTAATAGAAAACAGACTGAGGCAATGAGTCTCTGAGTGTGGTATGGTCAGAGGGCTTAGCTGAGGATGCAGAGCAAGCTGGGTTAGTATGCACAAGAAAAGTAACAGGAATTTGGAGGCTCAGGCCCAGCAGACTACAGAGGAGGTCCTGAAAGAGCTTAGCAGCAGGGGGAGAGGTCAAGAAGAAAGTGACATGTCAGAGCATAATTAGAAAGTTCCCACAGTGGAAAATGACCAATGCATTTATAAAAGAGTTATGTATAATATTCACTCTTAAATGTTTGTCTGATTCTTGTACCTTCTTTACCATCAAACCTTCAATAAAACTGCATAGCACACAGAAGCTTGCATGAGCGGAATGGAGCAAGAATGATACATGGGCTGAGGATTTCTTGCTGGAGCAAGAATGATACATGTGCTGAGGATTTCTAAGTCAGAGAGGCCCGGTAGACAAGCACAGCCTATAGTGGATTCCAGGCTCCACATAATAGTGGAGAGCAGGCTGTGGGAGGGTTTAACAGGAACAGCCCCAGGAATTCAGGGAGCTCTTGGGGACTCTGGGATCTCTCCACCCATGGAACAGGCACTTTGCCAGTTTATTTGGATATTAAAGCAAATGATCCTCCAGGGATTCTGGGATATATGCTGGCATCATGCTTGCAGGAGAAACATCTTCCTGGGTCACCATTTAATAGTCAATGGAAACTCAACCATGCCTATTCAAGCAGTGCTATTTCAGATCCATGCTTTTGAGTAATATTAATAAAACAAAAAGACACCAGTGTGGATAATAGAGAAACAAGGCAGAATTAGGCTGCTGTAGAGTCATTATTGCTATGAAGACCTAACTTGACTGGAAAAAAATTTTAAAATGTGTTTGTATTATCTGCACAGTGTCTTCCTTGATTAAATAGTTATATTGTGATTTGGATTTTCAAGCTTCTCTTCTTTTCTATCCTCCTTCTCCTCTTTCCCCTCCTCCTTCTTCTTCTTGTTCTTCTTCTTCTTCTCTCTCTCTCTCTCTCTCTCTGTCCCTGCTAGGAATTGAACCCAGGGCCTTGAACTTGAAGGCAAGTGCTCTACCACTAAGGTACATCCCCAGGCCGCAAACTTCATTTTTTTTTCTAAAGTTTTGGCTTAAACAAATAAAACATTCCTTGGCTACTAATAAAGATATGTGTTGCAAAATCAATCATGTATAACTAGCACTCCTCTGTAAACATTATTCTGTACTTACTTTTGCTCTATGTGGCTTTTGTGACTTATCCATATGCTGATTTACTGGAGATTTATTCTTAAGGGTTTGATGTGTCAGCTGCCTGGGTTAACTCAGCACCTAGGTATGTACACTGCAGATGTCTTGTCGCAGATCATTTTTTTCTGGGTGCTCACAAGAGAACAATACAGGAAGAAGAACCAAGGAAAAAGAAAAGAAAATGCAAACTGGAAATGGCTCTCAGTAGTGCCTGCAAAATGTGGTTTTACAGAGCCCAATGAGGTCAAAAGAAGGCAGCCTTTTTCTCAGCAAGTGTAAATTGGAATGTCATCTTCCTCAGCCTTGGGGAAGACATACAGAGAGATGGACAAATAGATGGATGAATGAATAGGTAGGTACACAGGTACATAGGTAGGCAGGTATGTAGGTAGGTAGATGATAGATAGATGATAGATGATAGATAGATGATAGATGATAGATAGATGATAGATGATAGATAGATAGATAGATAGATAGATGGACTGAATTTTCTTTCCTCCATTTTCTTAATTCTTTTCCATCATACTCAAATGTTTGTCTCCTAGTTCTTTGTCTATCTTTCCTCACATATTTTTCTGTCTCTTTGTCTTTTTTGTTTTAGTCTTGACAATTTTTTTTCCAAAAAGCAGCACTTTAGAACTACCAAAGTCAATACCAAGACCCAAGGGTTAAAAACTGTTATATGTTAGGACTGGGTGGAAGGAGACACAGGAAGATAGGGGCTACTGCTTTTCACTGCAAATCCTCTGTGTTACTTGATTTTTGAACTATTTGCTTTCACCTTGAGAAATCTGAAAAAAAAAAGTCAATTAACCATGTAGCATAGCTTCCACGGAAAGCCACTGCTTAAGTTTCAAGGCCAAAGAAATTTCATTTTTGCCGAGTTCCTGGAAAAAAAAAGAGGAAGTATAATGATATTGTCAGAAAGCGAATTTATACACACACACTTCCGAGTGGCTCAGAGGGATGAGCTTTCTTTTTCTTACAAATAAAGCTGATTTGATTTGCTATCAGATGTCTTAAGTGTGCTGAGTGGACTGAGTTGTCTGCTAAGTTCATTCTCACTCCTCATCTCATTTCACCTTTAACCACTACCCTGTTCCCCAGATGGAGAGTTGAGACCAACTCTGAAAGTGACCTGCCCAGGGTCACCAGAATACCTTCGTTCTATGCCACGGGGTCTTCCTCTGTTGATGTTGATAATGTGGTTCTTAAGTTACCAAGGAAGGGCCAAACATGGTTCAAGATGTCTTGCTTTAGAAGGAGCATCACTGTGACAGTGATAAGGTGGTGCGAGGGGCTACAGGGAACCCGTGGAGTAAACGTTCAGGGCGCACCGTGAAGAATAAAAGTCTTAAGTTCCCCACATTCTAAGACTGGAGAAACAGCCCTGGGGTCAGCCCCTTCATGGACCATAAAGAGATGCCTTCTCAACAGAACTGAAGAGAATTTGTCGTTTTGAAAGAGTGCAGTTGAGAGAGGGAACTCAACAGAATCACATTCCATTCCCAACTTAATGTCCCTTAGGCCACTAGGATAGTTTAATGGTTAGGGTGCTTCCAGAAAGATGAGAGGAGCTCTGGGAAAAGATGTTGGGGAATACAGGAAAAGGAAAGTGGGCAATGCCCACAGGATCATAGTCAGGCCCTGGAAATATACACTAGTTTGATCTTACCCTTGCTACAAGGTTTGGAGTTGGGGCCAAGAGGGTAGATAAGATTGTAGGGTACAGGACTTCAGAGAGCTACTGAAGCATGGGGCAAAGAAGTGTTTGCGTTGGAGGATGCTGAGACTCATCCCAAAGATGTAGCCACATCTCTCAAGGATCACAAGAGATCTCTCAAGGCACTGAAGCCTTCAGCAGTGGGCCAGTTGGGAGCCTTCACTCCACCTCCACAAACAGCATCTGCTGTAATGGCCACTGATGGAAGGGTTCCCACAGAAAACTACTTGTCCACCCCACTCCAATCTCCTCCTCAATCTAATGCCAGGGAGGGAAAAGTCGGGAAGTGGGTGTGTTCCTCTCACCAGCACAGAGTGGCGAGCTCTGAGCCAAATGTAAGATCAAAATTTGAAAATGAGCACAACTACATTTTAAAAACTAAAATGGGTCTGCTTGATAATCAAAGGTCATTTAAAAAAGTTTTGGAATTAGACTGAAATGTTTCTGGGGGAGCTCAGGCAACAGCTGTTTTCAGAATCAAACTAACAGATAGGTAGTATATGACAACACAGATTTATCACGCAAGCCACCATGCATGTGCCTGCAGCCCCAGCTATTTGAGATGCTGAGGCAGGAAGCTTACTTGAACCCAGGAGTTCAGGGCCAGTCTTAGCAACATACATAGGGGGACCAATCTCTCTCTCTCAATCTCTTTTTCTTCAATAAATTATCTTACATTTGTGAAGGCCACTCACCTTCCTCAGCTCATGGCCCTTTCCCCATCCTCAATGCCAGCTCTGCTCATTCTCCCACAGTCACACCTCCCTGCTGTTCCTCCACTGCCTCCCTCCCCCATCAAGGTTCTTGTGATTACATTGCCCCTTCCCTCCAGCTAATCCAGGATAATTTCTTCATCTCCAAGTCAGCTGATTAGCAACCTTCACTCCCCTTTAGCATGAAATCTGACATGGTCACAAGTTCTGGGGTTCCGATGTAGACACCTTGAGGAAGG